TGTCGACATTTTTATGCAACCTATCTTCGCTTCCTGCCCACCGTGTCTAAGAGAGCCCCTCTTCGCTGTTAATACTTAAGTGCGATCTCAGGGAAGACCACAGCCTTGCAACAGCTGAGCAATTTAAAAGGAATGTTAAAATGTCTCAATCTGTTAACCCGCTGTAGCAGCAAGATTTCAGTGTGAATTTGTGAACCGAAGGAGATACCTTTCTCTACCTCTGGTTTACTCTGTGCCTGAACGATCGTACAGTAGTGTCCTGTAGAGTCATTAGTCCAAGAATAGTCAATATGTTAATTAAAGTAGTACTACCTTAACTTTACTTCGGTAGACCAGCCCTAGGGGGTCTTATCTATAAATAAGCTGTTTTTTGATGGCAGCTACTTTTGGCTGGACAACACTGCAGTGATCTACAAGCCTAAATTTAAGGTCGTTAAGATTTCTCAGCGGAGAATACCTCCACCGACGTTTGTGCCAAGCATCGAAACATCCAAAGATGAGTTGTAGAGTGGAAAAAAAGTTAATTAGTTTCTAGTATAGCCACTACTACCAGTAATAAATAAATTCACATCCTGGGTAAGCTAAATCTTACTACATCCCTTGATCCAGATGCCTTATCTGAGATATCGACAAGCAAGACGTTAAGCGCCAGAAGGAGTGCGCTCCTAAATGCCCCACTGTTTCCATTGAGGTTGGCCCGTTGTACTCTCCTTCTCCACGAGACGAGTTGCCCATACAAGAATGACATCACCAAATAACATATTATAGTTTTATCTAAAGTACTAGCTAATTCCTCTTTAAATAAGAATGAGCTTTAACATAGAACTCACGATCGTCTACTAAATAGTATTTGTTTCTTATACTTACATTATAAGTCACAGCATTGCCCGGCAAGGTCTGCAGCAATATTGTAAACAAATCGGCACGCTGTACTCCCAACCGAGTGGAATAGCGTGGATTATCGTGATTACCCAATACCCAGTTAGCCAATACACCATCCGGCATGCTGTTCATCCAACGCGAAATGATATCAACTATTTCCTGCGCTGTTGACTGATTCTTTAAGCTGTTCATGAAATAAAAATTGAATGGCACCATCGACCCATTTCTTTCACCATCACCATAGTACAACATCAAGTTATCAAGAGTCGTGTAGGCCTCCGTCAATAGTACGCGTGGCTCACCACCTTTCTGCTTCCTATACTGCTCTACCAATTCACGCCACTGATACACCATTTCAATGGACTCAGGTTGATCTTGCGTGTATGTGTGATTCAAATGACACCAATCGTCTGGATCAGGGCAAACGCTTACATCGTCAATAACCGGTTCATCGAGGAAGTTACCATTCGCATCTGGCGCCTTTTCGAACATGAAAGGCAAAGCGTCAATACGAAATCCTGATATGCCTGTATCCAACCAATAACGCATCACTTCCTTCATCTTAGCCACTACCAATGGGTTACGAAAATTCAAATCTGCTTGCTTGATTGCGAACTGATGCAGATAGTATTGCTGCCGCTTCTCATTCCATTCCCAGGCGCTGTAGCGGAAAGCGCTTATCCAATTGCTGGGAGGCTGTCGCTTGCCTTTGGCATCCACAGTGCCATTGTGCCAAACGTAAAAGTCTTCATAACCTGGTTCACGATTAACCGATTTCTCAAACCACTCGCACTCATCGCTAGTATGATTTGGCACAAAGTCGAGTATAATGCGAATGTTGAGTTGTTTGGCGCGTGCAACGAGCGCTTTGAAATCCTCCATAGTACCGTATTCGGAGTGTATGGCATAGAAGTCGGAGATGTCGTAGCCAAAGTCAATCATAGGAGACTTGAAAATAGGCGAAAGCCAGGCAGCGGTGAAGCCAATATCTTTTAGGTATTGCAGTCTCTGTGTAATTCCTGTTTGGAGGGGGAAAAAGTTAGGTAAATATGATTCATAATTTGTTTGGGCCTTTACCGAGCTTTGAGGACTGTTCATGATTTTTTCAGGATTTCTTGAAACTTGTCATTTCTCAGAAATTTCGATTTTCGCTTTTTTCGAAGCCTTTTGAAAGCCTCCAGTTTCAATAAATGTATTTAATTAAATCTTAATTAAGCTTCTTATAAATTTTGATTTCTATACAGAGTTACGTGAGTTTGAACTAGTCAAATTACAAATTCAAAAATTAAACTGATTTCTGAATTGAAAGTTGTATAAAATCATAAACACTTAATATAAATTTTTTATTTGTTCGGCAAATAAAATCATCAGTAATTTTTTTACCAATGCAAAACAAAATTTTTTTTTTTTATTATGTTTTCGAATCGTCACCTCACAAGAATGCGCAGATGGGCAAAAAAAACTCGAAATTCGTGGCTAGTTTTATTTGAAGAAATCACGAATCAAATTTATTTGTTTGAAAATTTAATCACAAAATTTTTTTTTTATTTAGTCGATGAAACAAATCACTAGTCAAATAGATTTCTTAAATGATAGCATATTTAAAATCAGAAAGGATTTTCAATCATGCAACCGTGCTTTCTATCTACTAAATAAATGCATTTTTCACTTCCACCATAGAACATTACCATTTAGATCACCGATTCCATCACCGTTACTATCACGAAATGAGCGCGGATAAATTTGATAGTAATTCCCATTTTCCCACCATTCCTTGGTGTGGGCAATATTCAAGCGAACAGCCAAAAAAGCTGTCGTTGCTAGTAAAAAACAAAAAAAGTTCATCATCAACTAGTAGAAGAGATAATTTCACAACATTCCGTTAATAAAGTGCTTATTTGGAATTACAACCTCGTTTGCAAGCTAAATTTCAATACTGAATGCTCAAATTTTAAATTCTGTCACATTTATAGCTAATTATTAGGGCTCGGAATCTCTTGCAAATGCATTTTTTTATTGGGCATCTTCAAATCGAAATGGCATTTAATCGTTAGTGCATATTTTTGCATATTTTGCAGTAAATTCCCGATTTTGCATTTTTTGCAAAAATTACCTGCTTTTGTAGATTTCTTATGGTTTTTGCATATTTTTGCTTTCTTTCATTTACAACCATTTAAATTTAGTGCGAAATCTCTTGACAAAAAAATTCCCCTTGAAAAAAAATTGCCGTTGAGTCACTCACTTCTACCTCTGTTAGATCACAACTAGTTGAAGACTATAGGAGAGAGCTGGCCTATATGTATCTCTGATCAGTACGAAATCACACTAATATAGGTTCTGGGACATATGGACATACTTATACGGAAACGAGGCCGCGGACGAAATAGCAAGGTGCGGCTCCGCAGTGAATGTGTCCCGCGCGGTGGACGGTTATCACTCGAAGGCCAAGCAGAGGTGGAACTGAACAGGATCGTACAGTATTATCCGGCAGTTCTGGCTGTTCTTCGACCCACTTTAAACCAAATCTCTATTAGAAGTGAACAAAGAGCATACCTACAAACTTACTGCAGTGTGTACAGGGCACTGGCCCGTTGGGGTGCATGCTGAAAGTATTGGGTTGCCCTGGCTCAAAAGAGACAGTCGAACACTTCCTGTGCGAGTGTCCAGCCTTCAAAAGGATGAGACTAAAGACACTCTGCAAGCCATTCCCGCAGAATGTTTACGAGTACAACTGCCTCTCTCTGTACGAAATACCTACTGAAATTTATTAAAGTAAATATTAAGTAAATATTTATCGTATTTTGAAGTCAATGGTATGATTTATTTATTTTTACTGGCAACAAAATATTACGAAAATATTTTGAATCGCATTTTTTTTTTTTGTTTATAGCGCATATTCTTAAATTTTGAGTGCTTATTATATGCGCATATTTACGATTTTTTAGTGCATGAGATTCCGAGCCCTACAAATTATGTATGTATATTTTAGAACTGAGTACACTTAAAAAAAAAACAACTTTTCAATGTTTGTGGAAACGTATCAATTCCTAATTACTCATATTATTATAATTATTTTTTTAATTATTACATTTTTTCAAGGCATATAAAACAGGTAGTAGTATTAGAGCAAGAACCATATTTAAGTGTATTTTATCATTGCTTTGGGCATCCAAAGTGTTAAAAAAGTAGTCCACTTATTTTAAATAGTATAGTGGGTGATGTGAAATACAAACAAACATTTAAATAAAAAAACTAAAAATTGGTGCGGCGTTTTTTATTTGTGGATTTGTTTCATTCTGCTAGTGATGGACGAAATAGCGATTTTTCAGCATCAGCGAAACGGTTGATTGCGACGTTTAAATCACAGTGATTTTTTATGGCTATTGCGACCGCTAATTCTATTAATAACAAAGAAATGTGTAATAGTTCTAATAAATGATGACAAATAAGTGTTGATACATGTATTATTTGCCACTTTATGGAATCGGACAATAACCACACGGAACTACCACGTAACGGTATTATGACTATTTAATAAAGCAAAAATTATCATTAATTAAACCAGAAAATGAGTTGATGTAAACATTGTATCAACTGTATTTGCATTGAACTCATAGGCTTATAAGCTTAATTTATATGTATTTGTAGTACACTGAGGGAAAAAGTATTAAAATCAAATAGAAACGTAATTGATCTTACTATATACGTCCAAGAAAGTACTGTATATTTCGGTAAATATTCAATTCAATTACGCGCATATGACTGCGCTCGTTCTGAAAAAGCATCAGTGAATAGTCCTGATAAAAACCAAAAAAAAAATATTTAATTTGCAAGTTGCCTGCAGTGGAATCTGAAACCCTGGCCCTCACTGGCTATCAACAAATTGAGAGCATCTTTGCGCACTCAGCTACACATACAGACATATAAATGCGCTTTCAAATGTTGAATTTTCTGGGGGATGCGTGCCCTGCAGGGAAAGCTATTAGTTGTGAACTAGAATTGTACCAGTTTGCGTTTCAGCCAATTAATTCACGTTCCATCCTTTTTCAATATTAGCGACTGGTATTTTAAACATTGCGATGTCCTATGATTGTCGATTGTCAGGCTATGCATCAGCGTCTACTAGTAGAAATAGTAGTGCCAATTCATCCCCCGTAATAAGCATAAGTATGCCTTTTTGCTCGAGAAGCTTCAACAGTCGCCAACAGAACAAAGCACTCGTGTGGTAGGTTCAAGTCCCGATGCAGGGAAAAAACTATTAGATTAATTTTTTTATGATTTTTATGTTAATTTTTAAATTTAATTTAAAAAAATATTTTTTGGTTTTCTATTTCGGTTTTTATATCATAAGCATTTCTTTCCATATGCACGTTTTTTCTGCAATGCAATTCGATTTTCAAATAAGTTATTTATATTTTAATTGAAATAATTATTTTCACTTACATTGATTTAACTTTAAAAATCTTAACCACCTCAAAGCGGCCTCGAACTTGCGATCTCAGAACCATAACCAGTAGTTTTCACGTGACGCCACAGCCGACAGTTGTAAGAAAATGAATTAATTGCGTTTTATCTTTGGCTTTGGCAATTCAAAGGCAGATGTCGCTGAACGCTTAAGATCTTCGGAATTGTCGTAGTGGTAGGGACCTACTAGTTAATGAACTAGTACTTTTTCTAACTGGTTTAGCTTTTCACTGCAGAGTATGTACACTTACATATACATACTACAGTCAAATACGTGCGTAATAAATATTTGTATAAAAATATAATTTTTAAATAAGAACATTTCTAAACGATAATCAAATATAAAGTTTAATGCCTTTATTACTATGCATTATTTTCCTCAGTGTACAATAACTTACACAGTAGCTCAAATGAGCGTTCACATGTCGATTCGCTTTCAATATTTCCATAAAAAATGTTATTTAACTACCAAAGAACAAACTTTTGTATTCAATTATAAACAAAATATAAATAGAGGTGGTAACCTTCGTTCGTTATTTCTAGTTAAAAGCTTTTTCAGTCCGCTTTCATTTGATACCAAATTTGTTTAATTTGGATAAGCGGTTTTTTTATTATCCGGAAATGACTTTTATTTCGGATTAAAAAAATATTTGGCCAAGTTTAAGGGCTTGAAAACAAACTTTTATTTACCGTCCCGGAAAAAAAAAATATTTCAATTTAGCCATGACGTGCAAACATAAAATCATAACTTATCGTCGTTATTTATTTAAGCGTCTCATAAATATATCCGTGTACCTTACGTGGTAAGTGGTAAGGACTCCCATGCATAGGTAGAAGAAAATGTTGTCCAGATAACAAACCCAGCTTCTGCAGACAACTAATATATCTGGAATTGAATTCCAAATTTCCAAAATTTTACTATTAGCATTTTCTTCTCAAAGGCGCTGATGGCCTTTATAATTCGACTTAAGCGAAAAAAGAAAATTATTTCGATTAGGTAGTAACTACTACTAGAATTGAGGAACTGGGTTCATCAATGGCCAGCCCTGCTCTAGCTCGTCTGTAACTTGGTTAAAACTTGATTACAAGATTGGAAATAACATATTTAGCTAAAGTTTCGGCTGGTAGCGGTCGTGTATAGAATAAACCGGGAAATAAAACCGAAATTAATTTAAGACAAAATTCGCTTGGCTTAGAACCGATATAAATAATACAGTTTTTTGTAAATATTGTTAAGTATTGTTTTAAATACTGTTTAACTTTATCTAGAATTTCCATTACAGAGTTGTTTGAAAAAATTCCACGTTTTGTCATAAAATAAATAAAAAAAAAAAGTGAGCAATAATAATTTGGTTTATGCATACATAATAGAGTATAAAAAATACTACTCAAAATTATATCTATCAAGTAATTTTTAACGATAAAAAATCAGGCAACGCTGAGTATTTCAGCTAGTTCTTTTTTTAAATAAACTAATGTACGGGATGGTCAGTAGTCCCTTTTTCAGATTTTTAAAAAATATTATTATTGGTTCGACATATGTATCTGAATCGCGTTTTGTAATAAAGAAAGCTTTGCTCAACTAAATAAATTAATATCTTTAACCGGCAACGAAAAAAATTACACAATATCTATAACTGCTTAGTACAATTGTAATGACAATACGAGCATGGATCGGAAATTCGGCCTTTCCGACCAAGCCTAACAGTTCGTCCACAGCGCGGAGCGGAAACTAGGTCTTTCCGCCCGCCGCACACAAAAGTAGACTGGAGACTAGTCCTCGCCAGCTACCCAACTTGCTATTTTATATTGTTATTATTATTATTGCAAATGAATATGTACAATTAGTTTACTCTGTAATACATCATACATAAATACTCAAATGTCTAAATCATTTTATGTACATATCTCATTTGTCTGTAAGAAAACATTTTTCTGTAGACTTAAATAAATAAATATATATGAATAATATGTACGCATTTATAAATGTAAACCAACTTTGGTTTGTTATAGTTTAGGTCTTAAAATAACCGTATGTAGCCATTAAAAAAAAAAAACTTTATTTTCAATATCGCCATCATCCAACAGCCCCCTGGATGCCAGAACTCAGTTTTGCATTCCCTTCGCAGTATTAAAAAAAAAATTTAACGAGCATAATTTCCTTGGGCCCGTAGGCACGCAATATACAAAGTATTTTTTTTTTAATTTTAATGTCGCGATCTCTTCTTGTCCATAACAAAATATTTGCTGTTAATTTGTATACCATTTTTGCTATAAGTAAAAAATTTATCATCAAATTAAACTAATGGCGATTTCAATTCTACAAAAAATTTTGCATTCTCGTCGCCCTCTGCTTAATGTTTGTTCATAGAGGGCAAAGACAAGGTTGCATTTTTCGGTAGAAACGAAATCGCCTTAAGTAATAATTAATTCTAATAAATTTTCAGTGTACTACCAGTGATTTT